AAAGAGATCGGCATGGCCGATCTTCTTGTAACTCCAGGAATTATTTCTAACATGTGCACTGAGTATGATTATTCAGTTTTCGAAGGATTACGGATTGCGGTACCTGAGGAATGGGAAGGGGGTCTCTCGAGCGTGACATTCAGCCACTGACCGAGATAAGGCTGACTTTGATTATGAGCGCCTCGACTAGTGTTCCCTCCGCCAACGTCGTTATCAAACGACTGATAATGGCGGTGTTTAAATCGGCAGTCTTCGGCACCGTGACCATTGGTGACAATCTGTGGGCGCCTTTCCGTCGTTTCTGGGGTCAGACGTGTAATGCCACGATGCTCGAAGCAAAATTCCACCGATTGCCTTCATATTTTACGGGTATATACTGTCTACGATACAGATCAAGTGTGCCAAATTTGAGATTTATGGGGGAAGATGTGATGGAGATATGCACGAAATACATTCTGGGCCGTCGCTTCTGGGGTCACACTAGTACGCCTAAGTATGATTCGCAACATCCACATCGTCGTAGGTTGCTGTGTGCACGGCATGATCTCGTTCGGCACACATTGATGCATATAGCTCGGAGAGCTCATACGAGGCAACGCGACCGTGCGCTTGGCCAACAGCGGTCGCGATGAGTTGCTGCCAAGACGACCTCGACGGTCTCCAGATGCAGACGACCAGGTCCTCGCTACATGCCGCTTGCAGCAACACCACGAGAGATGTGAGCACCATCGAGTACTGCACACAGCATTCCGGCTGGAGTTGGCTTTGACCTCATCCTATGCAAACAAACGTGGCCGGTTTCGCGCTGGCCAGCAGCGGGAGGCGCCTACGAGCCACATAGCAACAGACGTACCTATACGGTCACCTTCTTGTACTTATTGAGGACGAATTGAGCACCAACGTGCCCCTTTACTGACTGCCATTATCGTCCTCGATAAAGCGTCCTGAAGGACGAGAAGCGAGGTTAGATCAGGAGAGACGGTGCGGGGGTACAGTCCCGAAGCTCCGACTCCGATCTAGACGCTCAGCGCCCCATTGATTGATATGTGACCCGGCCGGGCCCGGCCTTACATCGAGCAAGTCCCATGAGGAGATAATTCGACACCACATGTCAACCGTTGGCAGACACTATGTACAGGTTTTGCCTAAGCGTAGATAAAGAGTTCTTGACATGTACATAATGGGTGCACCGTCTTGTCTTCTTGGACAGTTTGGTTCAAAAGCCTGACATGATCGCTCAAACCTACGGTAGACAGCAGAAAGAAGACTGTTGGGGGTGGGAAATCCAAGAAAAGCGGGGTTGCAACATCCACGTCGGGTTTGTCACACCGCCACTGAGTCACCAATGATGGCTTTTCATGTGTCTCGTTCGCTTGTCATCTACTGCCCCTGATACGGATCTCCACACGAAGATTGTAGGCTGCCGGCAGGATCAGTGTAAAACGCCGAGCGAGAGAACGTTCACCGTGCCCTGGCATGATAACCGAACAGCATGTGGACATGAAGTACGTCTCCTCACGATACGGGGCGGATGGCTCGTGGCCCAAGGACTCATGTGGGTGGCTTGGAGGACTCACAGTGGCCGACTCCGCAAATCACCATTCATAACAACCGTTGCAGGCCATCGCCTTGGGCGAACCGCACGCAGAGGATAATCACGGCACCCCGAATGGCCTGTGCGGAGAAAACTATATGCATCCTCCAGGCGAGTGGGCTGTGTTGGGTGCTCCGATCGATTGATTGATCCTTGTTTTTGAATTCAAAGCTCAAAGCGCGGAGCTAAGCATGGCTCAGGGGGTCGCGAACAAAGCCGTTTATGGGAATGGTATCAGGCGGACAAACGGTATATATACCATCAGCCTCTGCTCTCCGTTCCCCAGGACCTTTCCTCACGTTCATCTTTCTCCCATCCAGAGCTTTGAGCCCGGTGCTCCCCACATTCACCACACACACTTCTTACTTGCTTTTGGTTTAATCCATTCCATTCCTTAATCTTACCACAATGAAGGCCACTTTTGCTCTCGCTGCTGTCTTCCACAGTAAGTTGGCTTGTTCAACGGGCACTGCGCGATCAATGACTGACGTTCTCTCGACCCCTTTCAGTCGTCCTTTTGGTCGCTGCCCTCCCGACCCCCGTTCCCCAGACCAACGGCGGTCCCCCCTTCGATCCCGCTGGTGTCAAGAACGTCGGCAATGGTCACGGCGGCCAGTTCATCGGTGGTCAGTGCCTCTCGAACGCCGACTGTGGGTCAGGTTGTTGTGCGGGCCCCTCTGGTATCTGCTCGGGCCCCGGCGCACAGACCCAGGCGGGCAAGACCGGTTGCGGCTTCGTCGCCGGTGGCGCTCCTGTCGCATCTGCACCCCCTGCGGCTGCGCCCGTCAACAACGGTGCGACTGCCGCCCCCGCCAACGGTGGTCCCCCCTTCGACCCCGCTGGCGTGAAGAACGTCGGTAACGGCCACGGTGGCCAGTTCATCGGCGGCCAGTGTCTCTCCAACGCCGACTGCGGTTCCGGCTGCTGCGCGGGCCCCTCCGGCATCTGCTCCGGCCCCGGCGCGCAGACTCAAAACGGAAAGACTGGCTGCGGCTTCGTCGCCGGCGGCGCCCCCGTCGCGTCCGCGCCCCCCGCAGCGGCCGCTCCCGTGAACAACGGTGCGTCGGCGACCCCCGCGAACGGCGGCCCTCCCTTCGACCCCGCTGGCGCGAAGAACGTCGGCAACGGCGCGGGCGGCCAGTTCATCGGCGGCCAGTGCTTGAGCGGGGCTGACTGCGCGTCCGGCTGCTGCGCTGGTCCCTCGGGTATCTGCTCGGGCGTCGGCGCGCAGACCCAGGCGGGCAAGACCGGCTGCGGTTTCGTCGCGCCCGGCAAGCGCGCCATCGCCGACCTCCTCGTCTGAACGGATCCGTAGGGCGGTGGGCGAAGGCTATTGTTTATTGTGGTATTTATTAAGCTCACGATGGGTTGGATGACCGAGATGAAGTGTATACCTTCCACTTGATGTGGCTGCATGTAAACGTCTCTGGACACCGGTGTTGCGCCGCTCTCGCACCCGGTGGTCGTAATTTATTACTGGGGGATTGATGAAGTATCCACTTGTGGCGTGCGGTGTGATACATGCTCTCTGTTTGTCAGTGTTGCTAGTGGCGCGAGGGATTAGAAGAAGCACGGCGAAGCAGTATGTTGTTCTCTGAGGACGCTTGAACATTGCGTGCAATGCGCCAGGCGATTATGATGGGGCCGACTGCGTCGTATTCTGAACAGTCACAAACGACAATCAGATGGGTGAAAGCTTCAAGGTTGTAGCACATCTGCGAGGAGCTGAAGGAGTTGCTCCCACCCGTGTGGTCGCAATCATATACAGATTCTGGATGAGTATCTTACTGTCGAGGATCGTTGGTTCGCATTTTCATCTCGGCTTCCATCCCAACACTCCTGCCCGGATGCATAATGGAAGTTTAATCTCATCTCAAGGAAGATCTCGTTACTGCTGTCCTGGGACCTGGAAATGAAGGATCCACATCCTTATACTCTCACGCTTGTTATGAGATGCGGCCCGCTGGGCGAAGGATTGGTAGTGGAGCCTGTCCCGGTTGTGTTCCTTGACAGGAAACTTGCCCCATCAGACCCACCTTTCAATGCTTCAGCATCCCGAGTATACGCGCACTACGTCAATGTAGCTCCCGTCGACCTCGTGGGTCCAACACGTTGCGAGGCCCAGATACAGAGAGCACGCAGAGTACAGATCCGAACTCAGCGACGCGCTCCCCATCCCGCCGTCTCGCCCCACCTCCATCATACGCTCGAGGCGGTCGTCTACCCACACGTCGTCGAGAACAGCCAAGTCTTGAAAGCCATCGCTGAACTCCAGAGAAGATCGTGAAGCATGCACCATGTGCAACGCATCCGCTCCTAGCCCATAAAGCCGATACCGGGACGCACCTCTTCAGCGACGCAGTGCGTCAAAACCGCCACCCTCCTTGAGATTTCTCAAGGCTTCTCCATCTGCGCGCACTCATCTCGCCCGTGTCAGAGCGTCGTGGTCATCCGCCTGGTGGCATCATAGAACTCGTCTCGTCTATTATACCGCACTATCGTGTCCGCAATTCTGTCGGTGTGGTAGAGGTATGCGAACGTACGGTGCAACAGCGTGCGACCGACTGCAAGACTCACCTGTGTTGATTTTCCGTTTCCCGCGGCCGGATAGCCCCTCGCACCAATAACCCCACATCGTAGCCCAGCCCCTCGCACCATTCCTCACGCCGCCGCTCATCCGAGAGACGGAGGATCCTACAACTCCTTCTCAAGCCCTCCTCCCATTGCCGCCTCTCCTTACCCGCTCTACCTCCCTCCTTGCCCCGACCCACCACACCATTAAGATGAATATATATAACTCACCGATGGCCAGAAGACGCCTCTGTAGCCGCGCAGGTCGCGATATGCCCAATGCACTACACCCATAGAGGGGCGGTGCAGGCGGGACACACGCGGTACGGGAAGGACCAAACCGCGTCGCCGCTACATCGCGCTGGCGGCGGCCTTGATCGAAAGAACAGGCGAAGGGTGGACGAGAACTTGAGGCATATGTACTTTTTCGGGTGCGCCGGACTGCAAACTCTGACTGGACGGTTGACAGCATGATGGAAGAGACGGGGGGACGTGCTGCGGTGAAGGGCGAGCGGCGAAGCACAGACAGGCGTTGGGCGTCGCCGACGTCGCCGCTTGTGCACATGCGTTGTGGTTCTGTTATGCCATCTGTCAGATGATTCAGCGAGCCCGTGTGGGACACACGAGGTGGGTACAAACGTAACAAAACCCACCTATTGAAAGCGCCGCTCATGTCTGCGAACATGCGGCGACAGACACGGAGGCAGAGCAAGGAGGCAGGTGGACACATGCATGACCATTCTTTCCAGACACACATACAGGATGGGCAGCGAGGATCCTAGGGCGGCGACACCGTTGCCGACCAAAGTCGACACCTACGGATGGCGGTAGAAGGGTAGCATGGGAGCGTGTCCGGCTTTCGCGAGACCTGACTGGCTAGCTCTCCCGGAGAAGGTGCGGTACGGCGGTGCGAGGTAGAGTAACGCGACAGCAGGAAGGCACAGAACCCTATTAACAGCACACGGGTACACCTATCTGTCAGATGTGGTCCACAACCGCATACCGCGTCGCCGCCACTCTTCCGCTCGCATTCTCGAGCCTGTGTTTCGTGCTGACGTCGGCGACAGCATAGGCCTTTCGTCGTCCTCCATCAGCATTGTACTGTATGTAGTGCAAACCGTCACTGGATGCAGTATTCAGAGTTCTCCCAAGATTTTTGGTGGACGGTATAGTGAACAGACAGGACAGAGGGACTGCGGACGACCGGGAGCGCTCTTCTCGCCTCCGGCATTTCCCGTGTCGTATGGCATCGGGCGGCTCAGCGACGGTCTTGCGCACCACGGTCCACTATCCTCAATGCTCAGGCTACTTGCAGTACGTCTGCCTATTCGCCCTCCGACCATGGCTCACCATATGCGCAGAGTAGGAGAGCGCTGGCAGTCGCCGCCGTTGCGGTTGGCGTGCACGAGGCACACGAGAAGGTGTGTTGTGTCGTTTTACAGACCAAGCCCACTTCTCAAGTCCTCTCCAAACCTGTAGCTGCCTATTTACCCCACTCCTGAAGCGGAGGTCATTCTAGTAGAGACTCCCTCAGAACTTGAAAAGCAAATTGCCGTTGCGCGGCGCGCGGTAACGGGCACCTACCTGGATGCGCGCAGTAGGGTCCAGGAGGTCGTGTCGCGTTGGATCGGTGTAGAGCAGGCCGTAGAATGTGCGTTCAGAGCTTCTCGTCTCGTAACCCTCCGACTTATCCCTCGCCCGGTGTTCTTTGCTTGCGCGTGCAGCAAGAGTGAAGTCGCTAGTCGCCCCTGACGAGCCTCTTACTCCTGGTGTTCTCTACGTCGGCGTCGCAACTCTCACCGGCTCCGTCCTTGCCCGGAACCGTCTCTTCTGGCGGCTCACCCTTCCTCCTACCCTCTTCCTCCTTTCGCTCAACCACTTCCTTCCCAAGACTTCGCATAACGTCTCACAGTACCTCGGCTCGCTCGAGGAGGCCCACTTCCCCGCGCTCGCGGAGAAGCACGAGATCGCGAAGGCACACAGTGCTATGACGTGGGAGCGCGTGAAGGACGCGACGCGGAACAGCCGAGAGACGGTCTCGGATAGTGTTGCGGCTCTGCTCGGGAAGATCGAGGGGGCGTCGGGGCTGAAGTTGCGGGAGACGCTTGGGGTGAAAGGACGGGAGCAGGTTCGAGCGGTGGAGGGGAAAGCCATAGAGGCTGTGCATGCGGTTGAGAAGGAGGTTGAGGCTGCGAAGGTCGTGGTTGAGGAGAAGGGGCAGGAGGTTAAGGAGGCGACACAGAAGAAGGTGGACGAGGTGAAGCGACTGGTTTGAGCCGATTCACCTGCCTTGCGGACCACTCCCCCATTTTGCGCTCGCACGTAAGGAAAAGCTAGATATGTCTCATTACATATTGACATCCACCGCTGACATTGCGAGTCAACTTAGTCAGATCTATGTAGGCCGTTTCTGAACGAGGGATTCGAGGCGACGTCATATCTCCCCCTGATTCTATAAATGCCGCCACCTGGTGTCAGCTAGGCGCTTTCGCATCCAACGATTGGTGGAACACTTCTTGAAGACCATCATTTGAGAGCTGGTCAGTCCCGGCTTGTTATGATGATGATCATGCGCAGCTTTGTATTGGCCCGAAGATAAGATTCCTTGTGAGCAGAGAGAAACGTCGGATGGCAGGAAACACTCGAGACCCGTAAGGTTTTGACCCAACAAAACAAGACGATGGAGTAACCCAGATTAGGGGGGTTAAAACGGTGCATACGGCACTTGCACGATGGTACATTTATGAGGTGCTTGCATCTATCTCCAAAAACTACGAAGCCAGAAGTATTAGTGGCATGGGTGTTTCACACTTTCTGACAGATGGGGCGCGCTTGCGCTTATCGAACTACTTGTCGTTTGGCCGCCGGCGAATGTCCCCACAACTGCGTCCGACGTCCATTAGGGACCCGACCGACGATATCCTATGACACATAAGCGTCATTGACACTCATGATCGCTGAAGACATATGTATGCATGTAGTAGAGGTAATGAACATGTTTCAAAGCCGAAAAACCAAGGTTCTGGCGATGTAGTGCGCTAGGGTGCCAGTAGCAAACGAAACATGCCCAAAGAGCCCGCATGGAACGGGTGGGGTAGAACTCGGACGATCACCGCATTTTGGGCATTTTGGGTACTATATACTATTCACTGCTCTCTCTCTTCGCATTCCTAAGGCATCGCTGCATAAGTACAACTTCACATAATACGCACGATCGAGGCAGAACTGATGCAAGAATTGACACGCCGCCTAATGGATGTTGAACTTCCTACTAGGAATGTATGATATACCAAAGTATCATGCCCTGGGGGTCGTCTCGTGCTTGAAACATTGGAAGAACATAGTCAATATCGTGCTGGGCCGTTGAGGAGATGATACCCACCGCGGGCATCGACCTGTTGCACATTGTGTCCCATCGCAAATCCATCGTAATCAGAGCCACTGTAAGATCATTACTCGGTTAGGTGTCCCATCGCAATCCCCTTTAGGAGTTTTGATAAAATCGTATACTGATCACATTCATTGTGCAGGGTGGGGCAACTGTGAGATTAAGATGGGACAAGACGAGATACTTATGGTTGTCTCAACGTGGCTCAGGTTACGATGCTTCTATGATGGAACACGGCGTCCGAATGCGCGGTGTACCGCTACTCGAACCGGTTCTAGTAAGTCACGTTTTGACGCGTAGCAGGGTTATTTGGTCTTTTGCTTGGTCGTGTCTGTCGCGGTGGAATATTCTACCGCCCAGAAGCACAGGCTGCAGTTCACAGCGCGGAGTTCCCGGCGCGGAGATCCCGGCGCGGAGTCTTCTTCGAGCGTGTGCGATGCAGTAGTAGCCATCACTCGTCCTATCCTATCCATTCGATGTGCCTATAAGAACAATCTTTCAATCCAGCTATGAAAACAAGATACCCATCTCCTCTTCCTCAGTCCCCCGCAATTTACCGCTGCCCCCCCCCCCACGCCAACATCATGGCCTCCCACTTCAGCTCGACCAACACCGTCCAGGCTAGCGCTTCCTCAAAGACTTCTGTTGAGTTAGACTACATTGTGGTCGTCCTGCGCCAAGACCAGCTCCGTACGGTCCACTCCTGTCAATGATGCTTCTTTCGGGCGTTGATAACTACATACTTTTAGGATCACTTGCTTGCGACTCTGTGCAGTTACCGGCGTCCTCGGCGGCTCCCGACGGCCCGGACGTCCCTGTTGCTGTACCTCATAATGTTGTCACTCTCGATCAACACCACGCTTGCGTACTGCTCCACCGTTCGCAGCTCTGTGAGTCTCCCTCGACGTTTGTTATGGTTTTACCAACTATGTTATAGATCTCGTTGAGGGCGCGTCGATGAGCGTCGTGTCGCCCAAGGACCTCCATCCAAGTCTGAGGGCCACGGCTCCTGCCCGGCGACCGGGAGTTAAAACGGCTGTCAGTACCGGGCACCTTCGAGTTCTGCCTGATGCGGCGTCTCATACGTTCTATTTGACAGTGCGTCAACTGCCGCAAAGTCGCGAAGCGGTGCGACCCGGGCCGGCCTTGTGCTCGCTGCAAAAGAATGGACCTTGGAGACAGCTGCACCGACGCTCCTTCTAAACGCGGCCAGGTGGTCAGAGAGAGCTGCACAGCGCTTGTTCGCGATCACCCTCAGACGCTTGAGAGTTCCGTCGTCCGGGCGTCCGCAGGTAAGCTATATATGTTGACATGTCCGCCGCTGTCATGGAAGCATTTCGCTAATTCATGGATCAATGCTCAGCATCTACATCCGCATCCAACTCTGTCAGCAATCCCCGGTCTACCACAGACCTCTTCAATGAGGGCTTGTATACGAACTCTGGGTCGCCAAATGGCGCTTTCCAACATCAGGAACCAGACATTGCAGGCCCATCCAACTCCAGACATGGAGCTTTGGACCGGGGTGGATGGATGGATGAGGCCGCCGGGTGGCAGGCACAAGCCTTGACGACGTATGCTCAGCCAATGACCCACGCGGCGCCCTCAGCTATCGGACAGCTGATCCCCGATTCCTATCCCATGAGCGCAGAAATGTTGCCGCCTATCCAGGTCCCATCCAACCTTGCATACAACGGATATGCCGTAGGTGAACCATCTGATGCATTCCAGTCCTCGCAAATCTCAGAGGGCCCTATTGCCGGTCATCCCTTCTATGGGGCTCATCGTGGGTGGTGAACGTCACGTCGCGGCGCCTGAAGGTATGCATACGGTGTATCAGCTACCAGGGCAGCAAAAGGTGGCTAATGTTTCTCTGGTAGATACAAAAATGCGCGGACTATACCTACTCTCGATGCTTTGTCCGATATCTACGCTTTGCCTGCTATGTAAGCCTGCTGTCTCTTGATATAGTCCTCTCGTGCTATCTCCCTCTCGCACATCTGCTCTCTCGTACATGATTTCTGTAGCTAGAGTATGTACGGTAGATCCGTGTATTTCTACAAGCTCTCCTTAGATGTAACTGATCTGGCTCATGTCCTTTTTCCCGGAACCGTCTCGCACCCCAATATGGCCGCTCAGCGATCCTCCTCTTCGTGAGTGGTTTTAAGGCCGAGACGACGTTCGTGGCTCAAGCTCGAGAGTGAGAAGGTGGATTTATGCCAATATTCTGCCATCATCTCATAACGCGCCTCCAGCGCTCGCACACTCCTTGACCTTCGTGACTACTTTGAACCTTGCACAATCTACATCCATCTCCTTGAATGGAAAGTCATCTATTGCCTAGAACGTGTTCCGTGCTTCGCGGGTGAACCTTGCAGTGCTATGTGCGCCAGCAATCTCTACTAATCGAAGAACCTCCTAAAAGGGCAGTTCCCCAAGCTAAGCGAGGTGGGATTGCCACAATCAAGCAAGCGTTACATGCCACGGAGATCGAATGTCGTCTGCAAACGACGAACGCGATGAGTAAGCAGAGCGGGCCTTCTCGGCGAGACATTATCAGTTCGCTGCGGTGAGTGCATAGGGTCGTACATCACGGGACATCTTGTCGGTGCAATAATGGTGGCTGCTATTGCTGAGTATCTGACAACAGTAGTGACAGTTGGGCATACAAGTACCACCTCCGGTGCTTTTGCCACGCCGATGCTTGAACCAATTAAGCCACACGACGCGTTGCGACCTCTGTTACATGCTTACTACGCCCATCATCGCTCGCGTAGATACCAAGAGCGCATACTTGTCAGAGCACGGAGCCCGACTCAAAGCGCACTCCTTACCTGCCGCCTCGCATTCAATGCACACTCGACCTATTTGTAAAGGCGAAGAGTGACCTATCTCAATATGTCCAAGGCCTTCGCCTGTGCACGCGTTCTCGGTAACATCTGGACGCGAGCGCCATTGCTACAACGCCAACAAAACCGCGAAACGTAAGCTGAGCCTGACGTACTTGTTTCTAGTGCGAAGGGTGATGATGAGGACGTACCTGATGTCAGTGCATGGCTTCCCCAGTTGCCCTGGGCTTGGGGAAGCCCTGCCGGAACCTATGCGTCAGCTATCCCTTATAGGGACGCACACGCACTGTCTTGCTCGTGCCATACTTGGCTATCATGTCCAAGGCTGTATGGACGTAGTATGTGTAAGCGCGCATACGTCACATCAGGGTAGCGTCAGGCAGGAGCCGACGGAGGAATCACCTGTGATTCCTCAATCCCACCACCTCTTGTCCACGGACAGGCGTCTCGCACAGGAATCGCCGTTACCGCGTCTCCTCCTATCACCACGCGACGGTGCAGGACGATGACTCGCCGTGTCCCACAAATCTTCCTCCCAGCTCTCTCCTTTCCTCGTGCGCAACGTCCCCACCCACCCGCATTCATCCCTTCTCCATCCTACCACATCGCGAATCGAGACAACACTCACCAATGGTTAGAAAAAGAAGTTCCACCGCCCGGTCTGCGACCAGTCCAACCTTCGTCGGGACGGACGTCAATGGGCGGCATAGGCAGGACAAACGGGAAGGGGCTGGACCGCGTCGCCGCTGCATACCGCGCCCGCCCTCTAGCAGGAGAACTGAAGCCGGACGCGATTCGTCTGGCGTAAGTACGGCTTCTTGCGCGACAGATTGGGAGGCCCAGCTTCACGATGGAAGGAACGAGCTGCGAAGCAGGGCCAGCGGCGGGTTGGGACGGACGTTGGAGGTCGGCGACCTCGTCGCTCATGTAGATGTAGTGTACTCCTGCAATGTCATCTATCAGATGGTTCGAGGAGCCCGCGCGTGCGATGCACGATGTGGCTGGAACGTAATGGAACCCACCTGCTGAGGGCACCGCGCGTGGCGACAGACACGAGGGCAGAGCAAACGAGGCAGGCAGACACTTACGGGACCTGAACAGTAGGCGCAGTTCGTGCATTGGATGCTCCTAGAGCGGCGACGTGGTCGCCGACAAGCTGACACTCGCCGATGGCGGTAGAAGGAGTGACTGGCTAGAGAAGATATGGGAGGGGGAAGTGAGGCGGGGAAGCACGACCGGGGTGTATACATCTGTCATATGTGGTATTGCGTTGCTGCTCCCCAGGCTTCCGCGCGCAGTCTCGCGCATGTGCGTCGTGCTGACGGCGGAAAGAAGGCAAAAGCACATCGTCATCAAGACTCTGACTGTCGGACGGTACTGAGCGAACGGAACAGAGTCGGGCCACCGGGTTGGGCTACCGGAGTGCTCGCTCTAGAGAAGGAGCCCGGCATTTCCCGTGTCGTGCGGCATGCCGGGCTGCTTGCAGTACTCCTGTAAATTCCGTATAATACCCACAGTTGCTCACCATATGCGCATAGTAGGAGAGTGCTGGCATCCGCGGCCGTCGCGGTTGGCGTGCACGAAGCACGCGAGAGGGTGAGTCACATCGTTTTACAGACCTTTCCAAGTCGTTGTCCAAACCTGTAGCTGCCTAATTACCCCACTCCTGAACCGGAGGCTGTCCTAGTAGAAACATCCTCAGAACTTGGAAAGCAGATCGCGATAACGCGGCGCGCGGTAACGGGTACTTACCTGGATGCAAGAAGTAGGGTCCAAGAGGTCGAGTCGCGTTTGATTGGTGTGTAGCAGGCCGTAGGTGCGTTCAGAGCTTCTCGTCTCGCAAGCCTCTGACTGATTTCTCTCCCCAGCAAGAGTAAAGTCGCTGGTCGACCCTGAGGTGCCTCTCACTCCTGGCATTCTCTACGTTGGCGTCGCAACTGCGTCCTTGCCCTGAACCGTCTCTTCTGGGAGCTCACCCTTCCTCTTGCGTTCGTCGAGTAAGTTGTAGGTAAGGACGCCTAAGGCTGAAGAGCTAAGTTGCAAGAACAACTTCGCCAATTCGAGGACCATTAAGTTGTTAAGTGGGCGAGCGGGAGCAGGCTGTGCGGCTAGGCGATTTTCACTGCTAGTATTGAACTATTCGTTCAGATTTGATAGAATACATGTGTACTCGAGGATAGTCGCGATGTATCACGGTGTATCCGCGCTAGGGTCAAATCAATACCAGCTAAAACTCTGAGGATTGCCAAACAGCATAGCTCGAAATGGGCCAGATTGCGCGCATGCAATGTAATCCTGGCGGCGCATGAAGGTCTAGATGGAAAGAAGGAACACATCACATTAGCAGGAGGGAGATGCACTCACCTCAACTAGTGGCTCTAGAGTCTGGTTGCGATGGACTCGCATGCCCGCGTGGCGGATGGACGCACACTGTCTATACATACCGCGTTGCAGAGAGATGAGGTGGCTTGGAGAGTCGCAAGCAGCCTGGTGCCAGAAGACGGTGTGGGATGGTGTGCACGGGGCCATCACCGCGGAGGGGGAGTTCCCCTTTGTGGCCTCTGGCGACAGTACTTGTTCATGACAGGTCAGGTATGTGGCGGGCACAGCACTCTCCGGGGTCCTCGCCTGAGCGCGTTCTCCCGCTTCGCCCAAGTAACAATGATTCCTCGTTGGCCTGACGCAGCATATGGGCCTGCAGGTGGATCGGAATCGTCCATTGAAGGAAGTTGAAAAGAGCAGAAACAGACTATGGAAAGGGTATGTGAAGAGAGGGGACACATTAGAGAAGGAGCCAGACAAATTTGTGAAGAGAGTGACATCCTCGGACTCGACACAGGGCAAGCGTCAGCGCTCAGCACAGACCTCAAGCATCGCGTAAGTCGTGCCCATAATCTACGCCCCGTGGCTGGATGGGAACAGGGGTGCTCAATAGAGAGTTTCAGCAGCCCGCCATTTCGCTCGACCTGTGGGTGGTGGAAGGAACGTGAAGCCCGACGTCGCCCGCAAGTTGCCAAATGCGGGGCACTCGGCTAGTTCATCAGTCCCCATCATTTGCCTCGTGGCCTCAAGGATTGAGCAACCCTTCTCGCGGAGATGAGATCTTCCTACGATAGCCGCTCGACTGAACATGGTTTACCTGATTTAGATAGCCGCTCGACTGAACGTGTCATGAACACCGACCTGCCCCTCATTCCAACCCCCCCTGGCTTTCCCATGCGTACGGCCATTCGAATGGCCAGCTTCCGCGCGGGCCTGCCACTCGCCATTTTCCCCCCTTGTTGCACATATAAGAGACTGTTCAACTTCCACTATGGGACCAGGACATCTTCTCTCTTCACCCCCCCTCCCGAACGCCTGCAGACTTGAGCACCACCGCATTGCAAAGTGATGGCTTCCCACTCGTACCCAAGCTTGATTGACGTCCTCCCTAGTCCGAAAACTTTTGTCGACCCGGAATATGTGCTCGTCGTCTTGCACAAGGATCAGTATCGTAAGTGAACAGTCTCCACCATATGCCCCTTTTGATGGTTCTTATGCGAGACGTTCAGAGCCAATTGCTGGCAACATTGTGCAATTACCCGAGAATAAATCCCTGGTGACGACGGGCCGTCCAAGCGTGTCTACTACTATTCCCTATTATGTTGCTACACTTGGCCCGCAGCACGTCTGCTTCTTCCTCCATCGTTCACAACTTCGTGAGTCAACCTTGGAATCATCGCTTCGTTTGCCAATCCGGTCGTAGATCCAGTGGGAGGGGTGTCTATCAATGGCTTGCAATCATCCACACAAGGTGATCCAAGTCTGAAGGTCAAGAAACCGTCCCGAAAGAGTGTTAAGATATCTGTGAGCATTAGTGACTTTACATCGTGCGTCCGCTGCTGATTGTTCTATAATACAGTGCATAAATTGCCGCAAAGCAGCAAAGAGATGTGATCCTGGGCGCCCATGCCGTCGCTGCCAGAAAATGGGTCTCGGAGACAGTTGTGTCGATGCTCCTAGCAGACGTGGTAATACTTCCGTCAAAAGGAGCGGTACAATGACGATCCCCGACTCAACCCATATGCCCCTTCAGAATGCCATTGAAACGCATGAAGGTGAGCTTTACCCACTGTGTTGTACAGGTCACAGTCGTCGTCTGAACACTTTGTCTAGTCGTCAGATAAGTCACTCCATCTCCAGCGAACGCTATCGCGATATCATCGTCTACAGCGCATGTAAACGTCGGCTATCATACCACATATCAACAGGGACGGATCGAGGGAGCCACGTCCCAGGCTGAGGGTCTGTCTGTAGCTGCGCAACGCATGCTCCCTGCAGCGTCCGCAGTTGTCGGTAATTTGAACATCCACCCCGCCGACTTCATAGGCGTGTGCATGTCGTCGTCACGTCAGACTCCCTCTGACGTTATGTTTCCGGACAACGGGTATCCGACAGGAGGATCCGCGAGTACACCCCAGCCTTTCGGATTCGGAAGCCCAGAGGACTATATCGCTGGACCTCCCTTCTACTGGGGATACGATGGTTGGCGAGGGTGATGATTTTCTACTTGAAGGTATGAAGTCCTGAAAATAGCTCCATGAGCAGCGATGTATAACTCACCCTTCTGTCGGCTAGAGATGTCTTACTTGTATTCAGTCGCTACTTCTCCGCGATACGTCTCGTGTGTCTGCTGTCCTGCTGTCCGTCAACGTCGTCCGATCATGCTTTCGCACTTCCGTACCTCTGCTTGTTCACATGGCATTTGTATTCAATAGCTATCATCAACGTGTAAAGCCTGGCCATTTTCCATGTTCTCGATCCAATCTATGCCTAATGCATGCCTTCCTCGCTTTGCACCTCTCAGCGCCAGTGCACACCAAGTCCTTCATGGATATCATCCGATTGGTGTCCGCGTGACCTCACCTTCCGCGGTGAATGATTGTCCTTGGCTCCGGATCGCGGGTTCGCAGACCCGAGCCCGACATCGACTCTTACGACACCAGGCACGCATTCCTCGCGTGCGTGCTTCGTCTGCAGCATCAATCTTTCTAAGGTGGGAAGCTTATAGAATCAATAGATCGACAGCCATACAGCGCACTTTATGCTTGGAAGGGCCAAAGCCGTCTTCTGTTCTTCCCTCCCTCGCCACTACTAATGGTACTCTGGAACCATTTTTCAGAAACATATTGCCTTCAGTGACATGTACTCTCGGGTTACTGCGCCGTTCGGCGTGATCCCATACAGCCCTCACGCATGCTGAGATACACTTGACCGTAAATCACACGCCACAGCTGCGACTCGATCAGGAGCGCGGGCGCACTGTTGGGGAGTTTCGGAGGGATTCGATGGGCCGACGCTCGACTGAACCTGGATGTTATCCCATGAGAAGACGTCTTGGGATCTTGGTGATTGAGTTTACGGCGATGAATGCGGAGTGACGCGGTCGCTCAGGATGGCGATTATGCTTCAACAGGTAGCTCGGATGTTTTCCGAGCTCGAACAAGTAGGTCCGAAAGGCGAGGCTGCTTCATGTAGCTTGCGAAGAAGGCGCATTGACTGCATAGGGGAGGTCAATATGTACGTCGTCGGGACTCACGCGGATGGAAACCACCGTAATGATCCACGAGACAGAAACATATGGACCTACCTAACTGAGACCACGTCGATGTCCTTTAAGCTGCCATAATATGCGGCGGACCCAACTTACCATGGTAGCGGCCCTCCGTACTCAAGACCATCATCTCAGAGTAGATACTATCGGCGTACCTGACATCGTGGGACACAATAACATGTCAAATATCGCAATTGCATTCATGAAGATGTCGGCGCAGTATTGAATTCGGGACAGTCTCAAGCACCGGATGCATTGACTTCGTATCCTGCGCTTCACATCAACGAGGACCTTCCTCAGAGATCTCGGAAGAACATACCACAGCGCTGGTGAAGTGTGTAAAGTGAGCCCTCCATGGTACTATGCCGTCCTTGATCATGTGAAACCTGTCCTTGAAGTACCCCATAGCCGTATCGAGATCATTTGGACGATCACCAAAGTCTTCAAGCCTGAGGGACAGTTAGAAAGCATGATGACCTGTTCCGGGGCGGAGTACCCACCAAGTCCGGACACCCGCAGCAATCTTGCGCTGAAGGACGTCGACCTGATCTGTGGAACAACACGTGAATACCATGGGTGATGCGACGATGTCTGTGACGGACTCATAAATAGTACCCAAGTCGCCATATTGAGTAAGCGATTCGAGAACAACTGTTTGAAGAGCTGTGTTGAGTAGGCTAGCCGATTTGTTTTGGAATCGTCGTCGAGAGTCTAAAGATAGTCATTGGGGGTCAAGCTGCACGGTTGCATACTACAGAGGGGAAACTACCTCGTCAAATGCACCTATGGGTGCCACGAAAATAACAGCATCCCTGTCATTCAGGCGTAAGGATTTGTACTGCGTACACGACAGTGTAAGAGCGCTCACGTGTTCTCACAGCGAGAAATCCATACTTGTTTCATGCCCCCGACTCCGGCGATATCTACCACATTCATGTACTTGGTTACGTTGGATGCCGATACTCTGAACACTTGCTCCACAATGCCCTTAGTCTGGGTGCGCGCATGGAGAACATCATCTTCAAACCACGTCTGGGTGAGCTTCGGAGGTCGATGAGCTACGAGGCACCTACCGTCCGATGGTATATAGTCTCGTTGTGATACACGTTCGATCTCTGGAAGAAAGCTGCGCCGAGTCTGTCAGCGCGCACTCACTGTATACAGCGCCATGCAAAGGTACTGACTACTCTGCCCACTCGGCGATCCTCAGTCTCCTGTTCGCGCGAAGTACCTCCACATCAGGAAGTCCCACGAGTTCCGATATGTACTCGGCGGACGCCCTCAGGATCGACGAGACTTTCGACAATAGCTCCTCTTTCTCAGCCTTGTCGTGCGCCGTAGGTGAGTCGAATTCACTGTCAACCAGGGTGTCTGCGGAAACCATGCTCCTACTATGGTCACCTAAGTCGTCGCGGTCGCACCGTAGGGCTGAAGAACTCGGCTTGAGCTGCTCCGTCCGTGCCTGCCACTCTGTGCCGACAGAAAGATGGTCCGAGTTCATGGACCGATCGTGGACGATCTCGGAGAGATGGTGCGTCAGCCGTTGTTCCACATCCAGCAGGGGCGTCAATCTCTCCCGAAGGAGGGCAGCTCGACCTCCCGACCGCTCAGCTGTATGATTTCGAGGAGAAGCTAGTTGAGAATACACTGCGCCCGAGGTGGCGCCGAGCATGGCGTGCTCGACTACAGTATCCTCTTCCAGTGTCTGCAGGATGTGACGAACGGACTCGATGATGTTTAGGTATATAGCTGTGAGCCAGGAATGTCGCTCCGCGTTGAATCCGGCCAAATCGTACAGTAACTGGAGCTGTTTGCGAACGGTAGACTTCCCTGACTCCGGAGGACCAAGTAGCAGCAGCTGCACAGCCCGCACCCGTCTCCGTTGGCGCCTTTCGAGCGAAAGCGCCGCATCTATCTCCTCGCTCCGCGACCTGGACGCCTTCAGCCATTGGCAAGAGACGATGAGCGGGGGTTGAAACCTGAGACATCCGCAAGGGAGAACATGGAGGAAAAAGTCAGATACACGAGGGACCCAAGACACGCCCTACAACAGTCCTATATGTGATCACAGGGTAGACGAGGCTGTGCAGAAGGCTCCCGATTGCGGCTGCGCGGCAGAATGTTCGCCGCATGGGAGCAGAGAGCTACCAGTGATAGAGAAGCGCATGCAGCCGTAGCATCTGCGTAGATCTGCATGTGTTGCTAGTGAGCTGTACTTGGATGTTCTCAGGCTAGACGTAGACATAGACTGTATAGTACACTCACAGTGATCGACGTGTCTGCATCTTCTTGAATCCCACATCTCAGTCAAGTGTAGAGACAGCCGTCAGTGGTAGCACGAGAGGACTCGCGCGACGGCCAAGAGTATATTAGTGTTGTCTGAACATGTCTATTAGATAGCAATAGCACACTGTGCAGAATGCGCAAAGATACAGTACTTGCTCTAGAAATACAAGTGACAGAGCACGATGTCCGCGTGAAACCAAAGCTGACACCCACCAACGTCCCAATAACCTCGCCAAGAAGGCTATGACTGTGCACTCAGCAGCTCGTAGTATGCTGTGTACTCTTCCGGCGTCATCTCCTCCTGGTGTTCCTCGGTAACCTTGGACAGCGCCACAGGCTTGCCATTCACTAGAACGACGAGTCAATACGGGTTCCTAGACTGCACGAAAGGGTTCCGCCCTACCATAGACGATAGGATCCTCCGCTGTGGCACCATTCACAGGGGCTTGTCCAAACTCCTCCTCACCGACACCATTCACTGCCGCCACTGCAACCTCATACGTCCCTATGAGACTGTCCGTCCGCGGTAGCTTGGGTGTGCTGGCGCCCGTGCCGACGTCGTCGCGCGAGCGCGAGCGTTTCCGGTACTCGTTGAGGGACTCGAGGTACTCGACGTTAGGCTTCACGTCCTCCTCTTCATCCCCGAAGTCGCTCTTGCCGGGCGTAGGCCTAGTCGACGGGTCGGCAGACGCGGCAAGAGACGCATAGTATTGGTCATAATCTGCACCATAGGTCATCATCCTCGCGACGGAGTATAGTGAAAGACAAGGACTCACAATCTGCTTCATCGGCTTGTATGATAGCAGGCTTCGTGTCGCCACCATTCGTAGATGGTGTAGCAATCTTTGGCGCCCCCAAACCCCTCAATATTGCGTCGTTCGAACTCGGCAGCTTGTTCCCGTCCGCTACAGAAGCCGCCGCGGCGCGCGCAGTTTCCTTGACACCGAGCGCGGTGAGCTCGCCAGAGATAGTACTCTGCAGATGCCACTTCGGCAGGGCGTTCTGCTGCCTCTTCGCGGCGGCTTCACGGTCGCGCTCGGCACGCGCGGCTTCCTCGTCCTTGTCGACGGAGATGACGACGCCGATCGTGTCGCCCTGTCTGCCCTCTCCCGATGCACCCGCAATCTTCAGTCCGCCTTCTCGCGCGGCGGCTTTCGCGCGCTCCGCCTCCAGATGATTGCGTATCCACAACGCGACATCGAACCTACCGCAGCACCGTCGGGCCAAGGATCACCGAGGAGATGGGAAGACGAGGACTTACGCAGGGAGCACCATCTCCTCCGTCCTCCTCAGCCCCTCCAAAATGAACCGCATCTGCCGATTGAACCTCTGCATGCGATCCTGGCTCCCCACGACGTTCTCCGCGTTCTCGTTATCCACTACCTCCGCCCCACACACGTCGCAGTTGAACGTGCCTAGCGCGGGGTTGAACAGGCGGTCGACCTCCAGCGTCTGGAACGTCTTGCGGCACTGCGGACAGAGGTACCCTTTCGAGTCGAGCTCGTTCCGCAGGCCCTGGTCGATGATCCGCCGCATCTCGGCCATGCGCCACTTGACGACGTTGCAGAACGACTGGTAGTCGATGTAAAAGTACTGCCGACCGACCGAGCGCTGTGCGCCCTCCTTCAGCTCGTTCTGCCGGTATCTGCGTGCGTGGGGTGCGGAGAGACGTATGTGGGTGGAGGAGACGAGAGACGAGAAGAGGAGAACGAGACGTACATTCGGACAAGCTTATGTCCCTCGAGCGTAGCCATAATTTTGTTGAGCTCCTTAAGCTGGAGCCCCATCCGCCCCGCCAGTTCGTCGTCCTTCAGACTGTCACTCATGAGTAATCAAGCTCGCGGAGCAACGAAAACACAGATGTCGCTTCGAGCCGCCTCCCTCCCATCCAGCCTCCTCCCCGACTATCCACGCAGCATATCCACAACTCCGACAGCGCAGACAATATACTTACACTGGATGGCGGATGAGCTGGTCCAGGACCACAGTAAACTTGGGTTCGTAGAAGGCCCGAGAGACATGCTGTACTAGCAAACGGAGAGTCTCTTGCTCATCTTTGGACAGACCTTGCGCCATCCAGGCCAGTAGGCCGTATCAGAATACAGCTCCGAGCCAGAAAGCGTTCCCAATGTAGTGTGAGTATGGCAAGGAGTAGCTGGGTGGTGGTGGTATAGGACCAACCGCGGGGTGGGACAGACGCCCAACAAGCGCGCAGTGAAATCTGAGTCGCGCGGCTCCGGCAGCGAAGAGGAAGGCACAAAAGATACCGAAGAGCAGTCCTGATTACTTATTATACAGATCCTGGATACAAAGGACGTGTAGGGAATACATGAAGGTGCCGCAGATCAAAAACATATCCTACACCTCATCAAGCGCAAGTCCTACCGCAGTATCCGCCCTATACCCCAATACCTAGTCATGTCGTTCCTCGCTCGGATGCTCCTCCCCTTCCAACTCGAACGCGTTACACCGCACTGACGCGAGCCACTGCGCCCGCTCGGCCTCGCGCCGGCAGACCACAGTGTTGCCCGCGCCCATGCACTTCCCGTTCGCGCAGCCCGAGACTGACTCACCGACGCGTTTCCTCAGGAACACGCCGCCCCCAGGACCGATTCCGAGAGGGCCGGAGCTGGTTTTAGGGCTCCCCATACCAAATTGCAGGCTTGCAGGGTCTGGGATGCATCCTCCGCCGGTCGAAAGACAGGGTAGGAGCGCCGGAAGAGTCGATGGGTCAGATGCGTAGGTGAAGATGCGGATGCGCTGGGCGGCTGAGAGGATGGGTGCGAGGAAGGATAGCGTGTATAGCTGGAGCTCTGTCGGGAGCTTGAGGAACGGGAAGGCCACTGCCTCGGAGCGGGTAGTCGCGGATAGGATAAGGGCTAGCGGCTGGCCAATAGACGAGAACAGCTTATCTGCGGAGGATTGCACGCACGCGCAAGAGTCAGAGCAAGGAGTAGTGACAGGCAGCTTGCTCTGAGGACCACGGCCCTTCGGGCGAAGAAGCAGCGGTCGCGAGTACCGCAGAAGCGCGAGGGCCTCCTTCTCGACCTGGTGCTTTAGCGTGGCGTTCCGCGTCAGGATATGCTTCAGCTCGTTCTCGCTGTCCTTCCAGCTCGTGATGCTGCCCTTTGCCCCTTCCTCATTCTCGCTCGACGATGTGTCGCTGTCGCTCGGCTCCGACATGCCCGTCGCGTACAATTCCAGCCGGAGGAGGGTATAGTTGGCACGATTTGCTGCACGGATCATTGACCGGACAGCGCGAATGCGGAAGTTGTTCCCATTGGCTTTCAGGGTGTGCAGCTGGCATCGTGGGGAGGTTATGTACTCGATGATATGCAGTGCGGAAGCGCGAGTCAGACCGGCGACAGATAGATGAATTTCGTGGAGATAGGGGGCGTCAAGGAGGGGCAGGAAATGAGCGGCGAAGGTATCCGTCAGTAGAGGATTGGTCGTCAGGGAAAGGGTCTCCAGATGGGATGCGTTGACCGCAAGAGCAAACACGACGGCAACGTCAGCATTGCCAGTAAACTTGTTCTAGAAAGATAGGTCAGCACTGCGTCCACACGCAATGTCTACTATCAACTGGAGAAAGGGCCCGGGTGGGTACCACATTGCCTCTACATTACTCATCTCGTCTCCGAACAAGCGACTGCAGACCCAACCGTCCACCCGGCGGCCATAGCTTATCGTCCTCGAACCAGTGGACCGAAAAGCACCCGCGAAGCTTTTCCGTCGCCAAGAGGGACAATAAGAACGCCATAAAATGGATCGAACTTACGTTCTGGAGAAACAATTCCTTCAACGACGTGTTATCGCGCAAATACCGGCTGATAGCCAGAAGCCCTCTATTCCCAATCCCATTCGAGTTCAGGCTGATGTGCGTTATCCTGTGGTTCCGGCCAGCATCTGAGTTCAGGAACCCGAAGAGCTCCTCGCAACCCGAGTCGCCGAGCTCATTGTGTCCGAGGATGAGCTTCGTAACAGATCGGCGCGCGAGGATCTGCTTGATGACCTCCTGAGCCCCTACATTCAGTCGCCACATATCACGTGTAAAAAAGTGCACTCCCGCGAAGAGATGGCTACAACGCACCTGAGACCGACGAAAGTCCAGCATCCATACTCTCGATATGGGTACGAGAAGCGAGGGAGACCTTCGGGGCGGCAGACCAGCGAACAGGCATTGCAAGGGGGTCGAAACCGCCAAGTGCGAAGACATTCATGATTGCAGTGTGTGCTGTCTAGATATAAAATTGCATGAGAGTGATATGGCCTCAGATCAGGCTTGTGCAATAACGAATGAGGAGGTAAGTCGTAGGTAGACTGGGATATGTCAGGTGAAGGTGCATGGGCGCTTGCGGCGCCGCTCGACCACGCGTATCCCGGACCCCCGCCACCACTCCACACCCCCGAGGGCGATTCCCAGCATTTCTTGGCCTCGAACTCGTAGCCTGCCATGGCACATGTCGCACTTCGTTACCCTTCAGTCAGACGTTGGCACTTAACAGCAATTTGCGAACGCAACCATACATCAGGGCGTCTATAGAATCAAGACCACGGACATACACAACATAGCAAAGGTCGATGGACTACGTATACGATTGGGAGTCTCCCACAGCGCAATCGCCCAACAGGAGATGATAGTCTAGAAACAGCGCGACATAAGCAGAGCAAACCAGAGACGATAGCAAGTCGATATAGGAAGAGAGCTACGGAATTGATCTCACTGCGTTTCGAATAGTGAGTAATTATGGTCATGCGGTTCCTGAAGACAGCTGAGCTGATTGGCACTGAATGCCTCATCCAACTGGTGAGACCCCTCGTCGTTCAATAGGCCCTCATGACCGAAGTGTCCCAGAGCATGTGGGTAAGAGGACATGATATCGCCGTGGCCAGAATACCAATTGTTGTGAGGGCGCATGGGCTGGTTACCACTTGCCGGGTAAAAGAACCCGGTAGTGCCTGAGGAAGGAGAGAGAAATTCCCCGGCCGTTAGGTGATTCGATCATTGCTCTGATGTTGCTCATTCGACATACCAAGGCTCGACGGGCCTGCGGTGTCGAGAGGATCAAGCGAAAGTGGATTAGGCACGAAGGACGGATGGCTATCTACATCGGTATAGGTATGTCAAGTGAAAAAACTGATGGGTGATGAGCTGTATGCTAACGTACCGGAAGGAAGGTTCGGAGATCGATCCGGCGATCCGGCGTTCACTCGATCGGCCGGCTTCTTCTTTCTTTTCGACTCCGCGTCGACGCAGGGCTGCAGGCCGTACTTGACGCATCGGTCGCAAGGGCGATTGTCGCTGCACCGCTTCCCCGCCGCCCGACAGTTGGAGCACTGTATGCTAGTCAGGGACACTGCGAGCCTGACGGGCCCAGTGGGACGCATTGCACAGATAATACTCACTGCCGTCTTGACGCCTCTTGATCGTTTAGGCTTCGGACCGTCGCCTCCTGTATCGACCTCTCCAACGTCTTCAGGTGGCTGGACGAGAGCCCCATCGACCATGTCTACGTTTGCATCAGCCCCGAGATGGACGCTGTGTAGTCAAGTACATACGCAATTGTGATCTATGAATGAGGACACAGACGAAGTCGGGTCCGAGCATTTGACCGGATTCGGAATGGCGAGTGCGGGGCATGGGGATTGAGCTAAGTTGCAGAGCAAGAGACGAAGATAACTCAGGTGTCTTTATACAACAACCGTGAACATCCATGCCAAATACATGACTGCACTTCGGTGCCCGGCTGAGGCGGTCGGCTCGCAGTGGCTGTGTTGGGTATACCTGTTTTTCCGGTGGGCGCCTGAGCCTGGCACCGCTCGGGTCCCTGCTGCGGCACCCAATAGACGCTCACTCACAACTGCCATTCTGGGATGCGCGATCGGAAATCTCGTTGTGCGATACCAGTTCTGAGCGAGAATCCGGGTTCCGCCGGATGCTGCACTGCATCCTCCATGCCGCCAGTACGGGCGTCCACTGTCACCCTACTATATCGGGTAGTCACGGCGCTTGAGTCCTCTATCTCTCATCAGCTTTAGAAGTGGGTTACAGTTGAATATCTAATAATGAATAGACTCCGTTGCGCCATTTCCCTATACACTATGAGATATTATGCATGACTGGATTGTCACATACATGTGACAGCAGTGACTATTTGTGATACTCGTGACATTACGGTGTAGCGTGACCACACTATTTGTTCCCATGCGTGATGACAAACAGCTATTTCATCCAAAACCTTTCCAGACTAGCCTGCTGCTTAGCTGCCTCCTTCTCCACCACTGTAGGAGCATGAGTGGGCTCCGTGCATGTGCATAGGGCTTCAGAGGGAGTGTCCGGGTGTTATGCTTCAGACTTGGGCATGGAGGACATGGGAGAAATTTGGCGGTTGAATCTGCAATAATCCCTCAACCAGGCACAAATTTGGGCATAACCTGGGAGCTTCACCTCTAAAAGGATCCAGACAGACCTCGTTTAGCACCTCACGGTGGGTCTGAGCTCGCGAATTATACCCAAAAAGGAAAATCCAGTAGTGCATATGCCCGATTACTTTCACGACTTTGGCCAATGTCCCGGACCCAAACTGGGACAGAGAAATGGCCTGGGAATGGATGCCTGTCACATAGGTTCGGCGCAAACCCCTCGCACGGGAACGCGAGAGGGGTTTGTATCAAAGTCCGACTTGATCAAAGGGTCTGGAGGATGATCGATCATTAGAATCAATTTGTAATCAGATAAGAACCAGAGTAAATGTGAATGTTTATGTCCAGTAACAAACGTGGTGCATTATGGATCGCGAGCCGAACGGGTGCTCAAGTCCACTGGTTGGGCTGCTGTCTACGGTACGCCTAGTCTCAATTGTGCATGTTCGAGCAGTCCGGTGCGCCGCTAAAGGTCCTATTGACAACGCAGCGGCGGCGGCGGCGCAAAACTACTCACGATTCCCCCCCGTCCATCTACGCCACCATCTCCTTCTCCACTGGACTATCATACCCCTGCTCTCGTTGACGCAACCCCTCCCGTAGCTCGGCACGGAGGCATGCTCCGAATGGAGCTCGGACATCGTAGACGGTGGAGAGGAGCAAGGCTCTCCGTACAACACTGCGCGGCTGACTGCTTACAAAATGTCTTATGTTACTTTGATTCCCCGCTTAACTGATTTCTTATCGGATTGTTATCCATCATTAGTAACGGGCCGTCGTCCAGACCCTTTTGAATATCCGGACTTTGATACAAGACCATCCACGCTGACACACGGACGGTCTTGGTCGAGACTAGCCTGTCACAGGTCATGCCCAGTGAGAACCTACATGGGCTCTGCTGTTTTAGGTCGGCGAAAGTCGTAGAAGAGTGGTTGAGGTCGGGAGATCTCGGTTCAGATTGGGCAGATTATTTCAGGCGCTCAATCCAAGTCCTTACGATAACCGGATCGGACGTGCATGTCCTTACACCCATGACGTTGACGTGCCTCTCACTTGTCTCTAGCATGTGTCTAAGGCCTAGGTGATACATTACTTTGTGCGGATTAACTAGTACGCGTGCCCTTGAGTCCAGCCACCCCAAGTGTCGCTGTTTGTCAAGCCCGCTGCAATCCCCCAAACCACATCGCTGCTCCACTGCCTCCCCGCTATTGATGTGGGCTCACCATCCTCAATAATAATCCCACATTCACCTTCGTTCCCGGAATCAAGGAGTTGAGCATGAGGGGGAGGGCGAGGAGGAGTCGGACACAATGAGGTGAGTTCTTTGGTACGCTTACTGTCACAGCCAACGAGCTGTGCCACCAAAACAAACAAGGTCAAAGCTTACTGATGCAGAGGTTGGTGCTAAGAAGCGAAGCAACCAGAGGTGACACAGCAAGAGATGTGAAGAGGTGTATTCCCTAGACTAGAAGGGGCAGTAGAAGGTAGGGCTGCTAGCTACCTACAGAGGAGATGGGGGATCGACGAGAAGATCAAGTCTGAGGTTCCCTGCCTCAGACTCCCTACTATATATACTAATACAATGGTGCACAGACCAGGTACCTATTGACCATCGTTTGGTCAGAGTTCTCTGCCTCATGGCCTACCCTCTGACCTGCCTCATGGTGACCTTACGACTAATACCTGAGTCGTGCCGAGTCCGGACCCCTCCCAATGAGTAAGCGCTCCTGCTGTCACATCAGTCACCTGCCTGTGAGTG